TTTTTTTTTTTTTTTTTTTTGTTCTTTTTTCTTTTTTTCTGGCGCCCCGTTTGATCCGCTTATTCCAGCAGGGCTTAGGCTTAAGGACTTAGGCTAGGTGAGGTGTCATGGAATTCTGAAAACTGTTGAGCAAATGATTACTCCGCTTTTTATGTGGTTGAATCTGAACCAAGTCGATTACAGTCTGTATACAAAATACCGTACCCAAGAGAAGGATACAATCTCTTTGGGTACCATAGTATCCCGAATAGAAGGCTAGGCAAATGGACCCTTATCATAGGGTTTTATAGACGACTGGTTGGTGACGAGCGCATGGAAAAGCACTAGTTGCAAGTCCAACAAACATCCCTAACTCCTGAACGTGAAAACCCAAAGAACCCAACCCCGAGAACAACATTAAAGGGTGCAAGGGCAAGAATCATCGCCAAAAAAAAAGCCAAACAATCCCAAAACTGCAGCCACTCCCCTCAACTCATCTAAAAATGTTGAGGCGTTTTTCGGTGGCCTTGTCGTCAGTGACCGGAGACTCCTTCTCCTGGGATGTGGCGAGAGGGTTCAGGGTTTAGGGGCTTCCCCCTTTATCAGAGCGCAGGGCACCTAATGTTACAGTCATAGACGTTGGGTTAGGTACCTGACAAAGAAGGTAGCGGGCAGGGTATAAGAGCTTTAGAAAGGGTTCAAGATCCGTTGTGTCCAGGAGAAGTGCGTGACTTGGCTGATTTTCCGTGATGTCCCTAGACCATAAACCGCTAGAGGTACCGGGCCCTGCTTCGAAGGCACCATAAGCCTCAGAACCAAACCTGCAAAAGACTACAGTTGGGGGCTACGGAAATCAGATTCCTTTTTGGGGCCCTTAGAATTTGCAACAAAAACAATTATATGATATCTGCGGGACAAAAGGAGGGCCACATGTTTTGCGAACTGTCACGTGTCCAAGTACTTGTAGCACAAGCTTGGAGCTGCCACATAAGAAGGACTATCGATTGGGGGAGGTACATGCAGGGAAACCCATTTCAACTTTGGAAGCTCTTAGCCCTAAACTTGTTTAGGGTTTAGGGTTTGGGTTTAGGGCGCCCTAAACCACATGGGAAACTCTCATAGAAACCCCGCAGTACCATATTCCCGCTCATGTGGGCCCCAATGATTTGGACATCCTACTTCCGAAAAGGCACTATAGTATAGGCACTATATACATAACTCTATAATCCCTGTTTGATTTAGCTTTCCATTCCCCATTTGATTATCGGTTGTCGGGGTAGTCTACCCTCAACCCTCAACCCTTTAAGGATAGATCCCCTACTACCCCTAAACCCCAAAACCCTAAAACCTCTAGACCCGCAACCCTAAAAACCCTAAAAAACCTCAAAATCCTGAAAACCGTACACCCAATGTTTTGGGAAACTCTCACGTCTAAAGCGGCCCAGATTCGTCTTTTTCCTCCGCCTTCGGCGGAGCCACCTGCAGCGTTCAGCATTGTCGGAGATTATAAAGTGTAGGGCTTACGGTTTAGGACTGAGGGGTTTAGGACTCAGAGATTTGGATTTAGGGCTTAGGGTTCGGGATTCAGGGTTTTGTGTCTAGCGATTACGGTTTAGGGGTTAGGAGCTTAAGGTTTAGGTTTAGGGCTTAGGGCTGAGGACCAGTATCTCCCCTAAAGTCTCGCAAAACACTGAAAGGACTTTAGCAACTACCTCAACCCCAAAAGTATGTAAAATCATAGCCCTAAACACCTAAAAACAGCCCAAAAGGCCATTGTTCTACATACTTTTGGGGTTCAGGTAGGTTTAGGGATTTAGGGTTCTGGGTTTATGGGTTAGGCGCAAATGAGGGCCCCTTCATGGGGTTGCCTAATCACACATACAGGGGCTATGGGAGCCGTAGTCCAAACGCCTAGTATCCCCTTTACAACCCCTATAATAGTCCCCTATATAATCCCTTATACAAAAACACTCAAGGAGTTTATACTACCACTGCTGCAAGGATCTATCATCCCTATGCTTGGTTCGCCAATCCCCGCACATGGTATCCCTCTCCTCCCGGGTATCCTTCAAAAGTACCATCACAGTGATCGTGCATTTAAGGTTTAGGATTCTGTGTCACCATCCACGTAGGTGTCGTAGCTTTTGAGGCCTGCAGTCGCCTTCCACCAACTGTCGTCGTTGTCGAAGGCCACCCGGGTGCAATTCTTATAGCTGCCATCGTTTTCCCATTAATCCCAAAATGCAACTTGGCATTTTTCATTGGAAAAGTATGGTTGTTTCTGATGTGACCATAGAGAGCTAGAGGGGATGATAGAGTTTGCATCCACGGATCCATGGCAAAGTAGGACTGATGAAGCCATGGTGTCACGAAAGTAACGCAACTTTCCGTTGGAGGATTGCAAGCTGACGCTACATGGACCCTTTGGGCACTCTTCAATCATGTGTTCCGAGGACGTCAACCCTGAACCCTGCTCTTCCCCCAAACGCGCACCTTCTCCTTCTCGGATTCTTCCTCCTCCACTTCCCCGTCCTGGCAAGCGAACTGAACAACAAGCCCAGAAGGAAACTGTATAGGAGCCCTTGGGTAGTTTTGAAGCGTCAGAGCGTGCTGCGGTCGAACAGGCATTCAGGCATACTCTCAAATCAGTGGGTTGTGGAACACTGTAAGCTAGTTGGTATTCTCTCTAAATTGCTCATCCCTAAATAAGAACCTTAAACCCTGAACTCCTGAACCCTAACCCTACCAATATGATCATAAGTACAGAGAAAATGCAGGCTATAACCTGGTCATGAGTTGGGCTCGTAAGCCGTTATCATGAAGGGAATCCCCAATACCGCCCGTAATTCGCCACATTATTCGTAAACAGCCCCATTTGGGGGTGGAGTATGCGGGGATAATTTGATAAGGGAACCTACGAAACGGCTCAGCTATCAGCCTGGTCCGACTTTCGGGCGAGCCTCTATGCCCTCTTGTCCCTACCTGAACCCCAAAAGTGTGTGGAGAAATGGCATTTTGGGCTATATTTAATGGTTTTGGGCTACTATTTTACCTAAGTTTGGGGTCCAGGTACTAGTGAATCCAAATTCCTCCATTACCTTAGTACACTGCGCGCCCAGACACCTGCAACTGAAGCTCAAAATCCTAAAGCTTTGACCTTACACAGGTGAAGCCCAAACCCGAAAGCTCCATCCAGCCAGTATATGCTTAAGCCCTTAAACAAATTCAAGAGAGCCCCTCTGGGCCATAAGTCCTATAAGTATATACTATATACCTACACTACGCCCTGAACCCCAAACCCTAAACCGCAATTCCTACATCATATACCCTTTTCCTACTTTTCTACATGCACCCTTGGTCCACGGGCGAAATCTTAAGCCTGGGATCCTTATATACCTACTATATACCCTATATGTACCCTTAAGGGTCCCTAGGATCCACTTAAAAGGCCTAAGGGCTCATACCTGTAACCTTACACCCTTTGGGAAGGGCAAGCAAGGCCTCCTCTTTATCCCCATCTTGCTTGTCCACTTTTTCTGACGCATCGTCGGCAGTGATTTCCTCCTGTTCCTGGCTGGACATGATTGCCAAATTGCCGACAAATAGCTACACTGGCAAAACGGCTCCTCAAGCCCCGATAAGATTTGCTTGGAGAAAGAAAGAAAGAAAGAGAGAGAGAGAGAGAGAACCTGAACCCTAAACCCTAAAAACCTCAGGTCTGACCTTGAATGTAGAAGCTAACCACTGGGATTGCAAAGGGACGTTTAGTGGTTTCTGTAGGGGTATAGGATTTGGGGCTTAAAGTTAAGGGTTTATGTAGGGATATATGAGGCTATACTACTTCAAAAATTGAGAATAAGATGGAAAAGGAGATGGACAATTGCATGAAAACTGGATTGTGTATCTATAGAGGTTCATATGAACAGGACGTAAGGGCCTGAGTTTGTCCCATATCATGTTTCGGTGTGTCTTAGGTGGGCTAATGATCATTTAGGAGCCGTGCTGCACCAGCAACAGCCTGGTTGAAAACCCGGAAAGACCTCAGACAAATCCCAGACCCTAACCCTAAACCCTGAGCCCTAGAGACTTGTGTAAACCTTCCTCCACCCCACACAAAAAAAACACGGCCTTGACTTCCTCTTCATGGTCATCCTCATCCTTTTCGTGCTGCGCAACCATATCCTGCTGGGGATTAAAGTTCAGGCCTCACAGGTTTAGGGCTATCTGACACAATACTGCTGATTGAATTACATGAAAGTTCCCGGGTCCGCAGACAAACTGCTCCGTGCCACCATTAGCAACTTGAATTACATGAATCTCCCATTGCTTCCTGCAAACATCGAAGCCCCAAGTTCTAGGCTTCGGAGGTCTGGGTATAGCTTAACTCAGTGCAATGACTCTCGGACTTGCGGGGCTAGGAATTTACTTAGACAAGCTGGTGGTCTCTTTTAATGGGATTCTTGTTTCATAGGGGGCTATGTAGGGATCTTTACCATGGATCTCATTTTGGAACACAGGGATAGCGAGAGGTATCTCCGGAACAGACAAAGGCCGACCCCCCACGAGTTTGGGGTGTACCTAAACACCAAAATTAGGTAAAAGAATAGCCCAAAAATCACTAAAACAGCCCACACAAGGCCATTAATTCACATACTTTCGGGGTTCAGGTAGGTGTTAGGTAATTGGGACGGTTTAGGGCTCCGGGCTTTCGAAATTGGGGCGGCTTGATGCATCACAAGCTGGAGTGGTTCTGTATTTTGGGATTTAAACCTTTAAACCCTAAACCCTAAATAAACCAAAACTTAGGGTGCAGAATCAACAACAAAGATTCATCCACTAGGGCTTGGGGCTAGAAATCACGTCGGAACGAAGGTCCCTCATACAGGTTGATATCAAACTTCTGCAAAACTTGAAAAAGGAATCCTGGACATTACTTTGCCCAAAAGTACTGATTCATCGACCTGCCGGACCCTGTTGCGTGTGGCCGGGTTGAAAATAAGCGAGAATTGTGACCTGAAGGAAATTTGGCCAGAAGTACATACCTAAACCCGAAACGTATGTAAAATAATAGCCCTAAACACCTAAAAACAGCCCAAAAGGCAATTATTCTACATACTATTGGGGCTCAGGTACTTGCCGTGGCCTTTGTTGTGCCCAGTGTAACGTGTGAACGAAGCCATGAATAACAGCGAAACTAAACAAAGATCACGGAGACCGCGGCCTTCTTTTCTGCCATTGTCTCTGGGACCTGCAGCGCTCATAAGGTAGCTAGAGTTGGCCCTAATATGGTACCAAACGTTGTTTCCATTTTCTTTTCCATTATCCCTATAGAGCCCAAATATATACCCTGTAACCCCCATATAACCACTCAAATTGTCCAAGCACTGGCACTAAGAACAAAAGCATAATTGCACGACAGGCGCTCTACTATAAAACCACAGGGCTCAGGGTAGAAACCCTCACGGCTGGGGGTCTATAATAACCCTAAACCCTATAACCCTATAACATCCTATAACCCTAAACCCTATAACCCAACCCGTCCTGACCACCGTCAACCCAGAACCTGGAATCTTCATCGTCCCCTCCCCTAATATTCAACCCCCCTTCCCCTAAGGTTTAGGGTTTAGGTCCCCCACCCCTAATATTAAATACTCCCAATATACTATGATTCTTCAATATTAGGGGGGCGGGGGGATTGATATTAGCTGGAGGGGATTAAGGCGTTCTAAATCCTAGGCACTACTCACATTCAGTAGCAGCTTTTTGGGTGTTTAACGAAAGAAAAGTATATCCCTCTTGGACAGCCTGCGACCCTAAGGGAGGCTGTCGTCTTACTTTCTTCCTGGGACTACTTGTCCGCGGGGTTCTGAAGAAGCGCCATGTGGTAGTTTCCCTAAATTACTGTTCCCAAAATGGGGGAAACTTATATAGGGCCCCGTATTATAATGGGAGCCCAAATATAGGACCCCGTATTATAAGGAATTTAGACCAAGTCCCATGTACCCTTAAGGGGGAAGGTCTCAAGATAAACAGCATCGGCTTGGGACTCCAGAACATGACAAGCTTTGCGGCGTGACTGGGAGAACAAGCCAACCCAGTCCTACTGTTGATACTGAAAACCCAGCATGACCTTACTATACTGTAGTACTATAATTCCCAAGGTATAGGGTGCCTAGGGTCATGCAGAATTTAGCATCCGGTGTAGGAGCTTCCCTACCGGTCGTTAGCAGTGTGGAAGTGCATTTCTCAAAGGGTCCATCTAGGTATATAGTATATACTTAGGGCATAAAAGGGCTCACCTAGAACTGAAGAATTGTTCCAGCGCCTAGGACACCCCAAAATACTCTAATGTAGAAGCGTCAATAGTTGGGAATAGTGGTGCCTCCTACCCTTTATGTTCCTATATACTATCCTAGACACCAAAACGTTGCTCAACATATTTAGGCCGGCATATCACTTCCTCATGCACACTGCTTCAGACTGTAGGGTTTAGTGTTAACATCCGTAGGTCCCTTAGCCCTGAGCTTTAAACTTTCCCACCACCCCACCCCGCCACCCTCGTCGCTGCCTCGCATGGTGCAGACTCGGCCGACAGCGCTTCGTCTGTTGGCGCGGGACTCTCCTTTCTTTCTGCAATAGAAAGCCAAACGCATGGACCAGAGTTTTGAGGGTTCAGGGTGTAGGACTATAAAGAATGTTTGGTTGTTCGTCTTTAGACTTCTGGGGGGCGATCGAATGCTTTCAAGGGTTGCAAGTGAATACTTTGCGCCCAAGTATAAACCATACAGCTATAATGACCCTGCAGGGAAGTTCTGTCACCATGCCATTTGCTAGCTTTCCAGATGAAAGCTGACACTGCAGGAACCCCTCTTGGTTCCGGAAACTTGCATCGCTGCGTCAGGTAGTATCGAAGGAGCTCTCTCTAGAAAAGATGTGGGGTGCTGCTGCGGTTGAATCGTAATGATTGCGTGTGAACGCAGAAGCAAGGTAGCTACAATGTCAACCTACTGCTCTGTCTTTTTGGTTGCCTGGTTTGCGTTTTGTCTCATTTCCAAGGCCGTGCATTAGCTCCAAAAGCCAGCAACCAACTTCATGTGACCAGTATACCGAGGTTGCAGACACCATTGTGAAAGGCGGGCTCTTTGACGTACGGAACCAGAAGCCCCCAAAACCGGGAAAGAGCCTTAATGGAAGTCATCTATGGGCAAATCCTCCCACAAGGATGTGCAGAAGTGCTGATACTCGAAGAAATTGCTGTGCAATGCCTATGACAGTTTTCAACATATTGGAACTACCCCTGAAATAGGCTACTACTCAACTACGCACTTCGGATTTTCTAGAACTCCAACAATATCCGTACTAGCAGGCTTCGTGGATCATTGGCTCAGGATCCCATTTATGGGCATTCAGAGTTCAGGGTTTAGGGCCCACAACCACAATCAACATGTTTACCCTGAAGCCGCAACCTCTAACATATGGGTTACCTGGGCCTCAAATGTGGCCAAAGTAGTGTCCACCACCAGAAAACTTGTCAAAAAGGAAAAATATTCCACATACTTTCTTACTGGGGATTCATGGATAATAAAGGAATATAATCCCTCTCTAATCCCCACGTAATGTGCTCGCTTATCCCTTCTAACTTCTAACCCACAGAAAGCCTTCGGGGATCAACTAGGCCTAAACCCTAAACCCTAAACACTTGGAGTCGTCCTTCTTGTCGACATCGCTTTTTGGCCTGGTATCTTCCAATTTTTCTTCACGCCTCAACAAGACTTCACTTGCTGGTTGTTAGCTAACCACTGGGGCTACATAGGAATTATAGTTGTGTATACACGGGTACATAGGGGTTATACAAGGTATATAAGAGCTACGCGCACTGAGAATAAAACCGACATTAAAACGCAATGGAAACATGTGTTCATAGGCAAAGGGAGTGTTACTTGTCTCTGGCTAGCAGACAATGAGGGAATGGTGAAGACAATCGACAATGGAAGCAGCTGTGACTGTAAATGTGGGTTGTTAGGGTTGAGGGAATGGACAAGAGAATGGAAACTACAACTACAGTAGGGTTCAGGGACCGGAAACAGGGCTTCGTAGTTTATAGAGATTATATCTCGGTTCCCTAGTAGCAACAACCGAGTCCAGGCATATTCCGCGGCGTAAGATTCAAGATTTGAGGTCTACAGTTTCGGGATCGGGGTAAGAACTCTTCCGTAATCTAGAATGCAGACTATGAGTCGCTCTACGTAGTTTGCCTATGAACTAAACTCCTATAATATCCCCAGTAAGCTTATATACCTGCCTATATAGTCCCCCAAATAGCTCCTCTTTGAGGAGTTTAGACTATAGCTCATATGGGTTCAGCGACCCTAAAGACCTGGCGCGTTATCATGGGTTCCCCTAGTACCCCCCATACTACCCCCTTAGGTTTCCACCTTGATTAAGGTTATTTTAAGGATAGTTAGGCCTAACTAAGGTTAGTTCATGGGGAACTTAGCGGGGTAGTACAGAGGGGGGTAGTGCAGAAACTCATGAAATCATAGCCCTAAACCCTAAACCCTAAACCCTAAACCTTATAGCCCTATAGCCCTAAAGCCTAAACCTAAATCGAGTGTTCATCCTACCTGGTCTAAGTTTGATATGTCGGAGTTGAAAGCGGTAGGGCACAGTTAAGGCTTTAGGTTTACCTGTGACTCCAATTGCCTAGAGTCTTATGGGTTATACCTACTTATTCAGGGGTAATTGCTATTAAACGGCAGGTAATTGGGGGTACAGGTAGGGTCTGGGGTTAGGAATTAGGGTTCAGGGTTTGGGGTTTAAGGTTCAGGCTTTAGGGTTCAGGGTTTGGGTTGAAGGTTCAGGGTCTAGGGTTCAGGTTGAGACTTGGTCCCAAACTAAGCTGGGCCCTGAATAGCCCGGAGCGTTTGTCCTTAATACCGCTAAGACCCGGTGCCCGGCCGTGGCATACACGCCGGTTTGGTCTTAGCCGTTTGTTGCCATCGAATGCTCAAATTCCAATTCCCAGCCCTAGATCCATAACCAAGGGTTCCAAGGTTGTGTCTCTAAGTATCTCACTAAGGCTTTCCAATGACAAATCGTATCCCAAAGGTCCAAGTACCCAAATATCAAATTCCAAATACCATTATCTGAGTGATTTAAGGACCGACAGCCTTAGCAGTTAGTACTTGGACCCTGAGACCTCTTCTACAGCCTGGCGAAAACACCCCACTTTATCATCAGGAAAAAACCCTTAGATAGCCTCTACCTTACAGGAGCTTATAAATAAGGCTTAGCAGCTTAGCGATTCGGATTCGAGCTTTTTGGCTGAAGGAACTGCCAGGTGTGGGGTTTAGGGTAATTTCAGGAACCAGAGGTAGACCATTCATATCACAAAACCTGTTATTCCTGAATAGAGGGACAATAGATTGATCTCATGCTCTTGGAGACCCCCACAGGAGCCGCCGCCCCCGGCAACGTCTCACAAAGCTCGCACTCCCTGTATATGCTGCTGGGGCTCTCATCTTGAGCTTTCTCCTCAGGATCATCCTGCCGGCATCTTTTTAGGGTTTTGAGCCCAATGTAAACATTATTTGTATCTATACTTGGATCCTAGGGTATGGTCTCGGGTTGGGGTTTGGGCTTTAGGCTTCAGGTATACGATTGGGACTCCCTGGGTGGTAGGGGAGTAAACACGGAGAATTTGCGGTGCTAGCTTCAATAGGATCACTCCGGGGTAACACTGGTGGCTGGAGGAAATCTTGCATCAGCCTAGATGCCCCAGATTCTGGAAGGTACTGGATACTCCTAGGGGTCCAAGGACCCCAATACTAAGGTTTTAGGCCCCAAATACCATTAACATTATCGTCTTTGAGCCCTAAAACCTTATTGTTTGTGTTCTTTTGGACCCTGAGGGTACAGGAAAGAGCATCCCGCTTGGGTTACAAGTTATAAGTGGGTTGAGTCCGGGATTTGGGATGATCACGGTTGGAAGTCACATCAAGTGTAGCTGTGACGTTTTTGAGTACAACTTTGCAACTAGGGATCCTCAACTATGCGTGATAAGCACTCTAAGTTGCGCAAGATTTCTTCCACCAACACTACCTGGACCCCTAAAGTATGTGGAGTAGATTTGGAGTGGGGCCGTGATACTTGGAAAACCGTGAAATATGGTCCTAAACCTGTTTGAAATCCTCCACCCACCCTGAAGCCCTAAACCCTACCACCCCTCCTTGCTGCGCTCGGCCAGAGCTTCGCGCAAGCCGTCCAGTCGGCTTTGTAGCTCCTGTTAAGGCTTGCATTGAGCTGTGGACCCTCAGTACGAGAGTAGGATTTCGGGTTTAGGGCTTAGGGATTGAGTTTCAGGTTTAGGGTCTGGGCTTAGAGTTTAGGGCCTAGGGCTTATGAGGTTTAGGGCCGTAGGTTTAAAGTTTGGTGTTTAGGGCTTAGGTTTAAAGTTGAAGGTCCTGGGCTGTGGATTTACGGCTTGTGGCACAGAGGTTCCGGGATAATTGGGATTTTAGGTTGGGGGCTTTGGGATTTGGCAGCATGTGGATTACAGGAAATGATGGAGAATCCAATTCTGCAGGGCTTACATTTAACTTCTGTATGTAGGGGCCAGATAGACGGAATAGGGGCTGGGAAAAATTCATTTCTGTACAAACAGGCATATAGATCCATATGCATATATATATATACATATATGTCTATATATAGAGTGTGGACCCTAAACCCTAAACAGGGTTTGGGGTTTAGGAAGGTTTGGGACGGATAAAGAGTTTGGCGGTTGGAGCTTAGGGTTTTAGCATCAAAGCTTTCTCGCCGGTTTAGGGCTCAAGAAGAGCTGGATGAAGAGCTTGACGATGATGAGGATGACGATGAAGCTTCAGTATGGCAAGCCTCAACCACAGGCGTCCTGCGACTGAACCAAAGGAACGGCCTCCTCCGGCGCAGCTTGCACCTCAGCTAGAGGCGTGTCCAGCAACTGAGCCTAGGAACGGCCTTCTCAGGCGCGCTCTGACGCTCAGCTGCTGCAACGCCCTCTGACCCAGGCTCAAGGAGCGCCCACACATTTATCTCATCAGTTTCAGGGCTGAGGGTCAGGACCTAGGGTTTGGGATTTACGGCTTCAGGTGGAAGATGAACCATCGGTGGCTTAGGATTCAGACTTGGTTCAGAGTTTAGGGTTTAGGGTTTAGAGTCTAGGGTGAGAAGGTGTGTAGGGTATAGACCTCTACACGAGGGGAATCAGGAGCTTGGGCATTTCTAGGTCTGTAGTCGTCCTGAAATGCCCATGTCTCTGAACTCTCAATAGGGGGAGACACAAATATACACAACAAATGCCTTAAACCCTACAAACCCAAACACCATACCCAAAAAAGAGTCCCGACTTTTAGAACGAACCCCCAAGCTTACACCTATAACACAAATAGTTGCGTTGAATTAGGGACTTGTGTTTGCCTACGTTACTTTTTACAACTAATTCCTAAGGGGATAGCAGCAAATAGGTGGCCCAAAGGGTCATAAGGCTTGTGTCGTGATGGGAGGATGCTCTGGGTGGCGGCGGTGTTTAGCAATTGTCTTCAATCACTAGGTGAGTGTATTGCGAGACACTGTTATTATCAGGGGCTATAAGAAAATGTGTTGCTATGACTTTTGGAGCTTTTCCCAAACCCAGGGTTGAGGATTTGGGGTTTAGGGGCTAGGGCTTTAGGGTTCAGGGCTTCGGGCTCAGGGTTTAGGGTTTAAGGTTTAGGATTTAGGGGTTTAGGTGTTGGGACCATATTTCAGAAGCTCCCAAGTTGTGTGAGCTGCAAAAGGTTTTCGGAGGATGATTGCTCAATTGAGCTTGAAAGACACTGTTCAAGGGTTCAGGGTTCAGGGTCAAGGGTTGGGGGTTCAGGGTTGAGGGCCAAGGGTTGGAGTTTAAGGATTACGGTTTTGGGTTGAGGGTTTAGTATTTCGCGTTTGGGGTTTGGGATTTAGGTTGGGTACTGCCCCGAACCTGGAACAGCCCATATCAGGGCTCACAGTACAGCCTACATACCATTGTTTAAAATATCAACATTATCCAACTCTTACGGAGTAGGGGCGCTACCCAAGGTTGAGAGTCTGGGGCACTCATCACAACACCTTGTTTTGCGTGGATGCGCTGCGATAGAAACCCTGTAAACATCATGTGTGCTCCCCAAAACCCTAAACCGTAAAACCGTGTGCTTGGAGATCTTTGTGTGTGTTCTGGCTTGTAAAAATGTGCATAAGGACCCCTGCAAGTCCTGTAGTTTCATAATCACAGGCGCATGTCCTATATACACCCAGTATCTGAAGTTTCACGGATATAAGTATGTATAGATATATATATATATATAATATGTGAGATATATAGGTTTAGAGTTTTGAGGACTTTACTCCAATCCAAGCATATCTAAAAAGCGTGAGCAACTATGTACAAGCCACCATTCGCGTGCATTGTGTGTGCCGAAGGCAAACGCAGAAACTGGCAGCAAATGACAGGCAAGAAAGCTGTAGCGAATGGCAGTGAAAAGCAGAAGGTCACCAGCTGCACCCATCTCACATGAAGAGGCTCATATGGACCAAGGACATCTTGGTCTGTCAGGCAGCATGGGCAGTAGAATTAGGCGAATAGCGTCCAAGAAACCAAGACTCCCCGGACCCGGACAGTGATGCAAAAATGCTGGTGACAAAGCACATGGATGCGGGCCCAACCGGCATGTCAGGGAATCATCCGGCCGCTGCGGCCTCTGCCCTGCGCCGCAGAATCGCACGAGCCCGGTGGGCGCGGAGCAGGACGGAGAACTCTTGAAGCATCTCGGCATGTACGAGGGCTGGCTGCCCTTCCTCCCTTGCCGCCACCGCCCGCGAGATGAGGAGAAGGGTCTTAGATGCCTCCTTATCCCACGCACCAGTGGCCTCAGCAACAAGAGGAATGAAGCGCACGCTCAGGCGCGAGCTGTCTGCAGATGCGCTGCTTTGGCTTCTGCATAGCTAGCGGCCGCTGCCAGGGACTGTTGGCCAGCCTGTGCCAAGGAGTCTTGCCGCTGAGGGGCTGTGACAGCCAGGTCAAGGGCAGCAGGAGTCCTGGCCAGAGTCGGCAGGTACAACCGCAGAACAAACGGCGCTCAACTCGAGCATCCTTAGCGTTGTGGGAGCAGCAGGCCCGGCTTTTCAAGCTCGGGCTGCAGCCCTGCGCGCGCCGCCCAGTCGCTGGCGCAGCTCCATGGTGAAAGCAGCAGCCTCCATGCGCTTGCGCCCGGCTGGCACAGCAGCCAACCAAGCACGCGCCCCTGCTTCAGCCTCGAGCGCAACAGGGCACGGCCCACGACTGGCGCGCTGGCCAGCTGCTGGTGCCACCCTGCATTGTCCAGCAGAGTTGTCAGGGCCTTCTGCTTCATGCCAAGCAACAGGTGCGTGGCCTGCAGTTTGCTGTTAATGGCTGCGGCGGCTTGCTGCGCATGTGGCTGGTCAGCAAGTCCAGCAGCGCCATACTGCGGGTCAAGCTCACGGCAGGCAGTTGCGCAGCCACCCAGAGAGGCTAGGTAGGCAGCAGGCGCATCCACTGCAGTGGCACGCAGCCCCAGGCCAGCCTGAGAAAGGCCTCTGCTTTAGCCTGCGCCCACTGTGCCTCATCGAGGTGCAGGCCCGTCAGGCCCGCGAAGCAAGCAGGGGACTGCACAAGAGGTGCCGGCATACACTGCTGTAAGGCAGCCCCATCGACCTGGCCCACAGCCACAACTTCACACTTGGCAAGGTTGAGGTGCAAGCCGAGCTGAGCGCCTCTTTGCTGTAAGTGAGCCAAAGCCGCAACCACATGCGCAATGTCTCCGGCCAAAACACCATCGTCTAGGTAGAAAAGAGCCAAGTCAAGCGGCCCTGCACGCAGTTCCTGAGCCAGAGGTCAAGGGTCGCCCTGCTGGACGCCCGCGGCCGAGGGGATGGCAGCGCGCTCCCCAAAGCACAGGCGAGTTGGTGCATGGTAACACCACGCCACCCAGCGAGCAGGGCCAGGGAAGTGGGAGGTCACTGCAGCCAGCATAGCCTGGCAGGAAATGTTGTTGAACGCGTTGGAGAAATCCAGCTTCACCAAAATCTTGCCCGATGCGCCGCTGTTACGCACCAGCCAGGCTCGGACAGTGTGAACCGCCGTCTCAGCCCCAGCTGGGACAGCCACGCCCACCTGCGCCGGCCAGAAGTGCTGCTTGGCCTCATCCTTCACCAGCTGCATGAGGCACTTGCCAGTGAGCCGCCGAAGCACCTCCCCTATAGCGATAGGCCTGACCCTCCCTTGGGTTTAGGAACTGCAACTAATGCGGCACCCGCCATGACAGGAGCAACGCAGTCAGCCGCCTGCCCCCCAGCCAGCAGATTAACAACAGCAGAAAGTTGCTCAACTAAAGCCAAGGAAGCACCAGGAGGACCAGCTTCGCGAAGGTGTTGGATGCGCAGGCCGCTTGGTCCAGGAGCAGTATCTGCCGGGAAGGAGCGCAGAGCCTTACCAACAATGTCCGGCATCACCTCGAGAGCAAGGCTTAGAAGATATTTGAAAACCCTGAAGAAGCCCAGAGGCCCAGAAAAGGTAGGAAGAGGCCCAGAAGCTCAGAAAAGACCCGAAGAGGCCCCGAACCCCAGAAAAGGCTGGGAAGAGGTCCAGAAGCCTTAGACAGAAGCCTAGACAAGGCCCAGAAAAAGCCCCGAGGCCCACAAAAGCGTGGAGCTGGAAGAAGTCCCGAGACCCAGAAAAAGTTTGGAAGCCCACAAAAACCCGAGGCCCAGAAGAGGCCCAGAAGCCCACAAAAGGCAGAGAGATTCGAGGGCTTTTTCTACAGAAGAGGCCCCGAGGCCCAGAAAAGGCTGGGATAAGCACAAGGTCTGAGAAAAGGCCCAGAAGGCCCCAAAGCCCAGAAAAGGCTGGGAAGAGGCCCAGAAGCCCAGAAAGCCCAGAAAAGGCTGGAAGAGGCTCAGAAACAACCCAGAAAGAGGCTGTGTTGGGTGAAGCTCGCGCAACGCGGCAGCAGTGGCCGGGGAGTCCGGGCAAAGGCCCTCCGCAAGCAGCGCGTTGCAGGCCTTGCGCTCGAAACCTTCCCGAGCTAAAGCAACCGCCAACTCCTGTCGCTGCTCAGCAGAGAGCTTGCGGCTTGGCCTCTGCCGCGGGATGCGGCGGTCATCCCAGAGCGTTTGTCGCTCGCCCTGGCACCAGCGCTGCAGGCGGTCCTGCGTGTAAGCGGCCGAAGCTTTGCGATGTCGCCGGCCACCACGGGGAGGTGTCCCAAGAACACTTTGCGGGAGCATGAGCAGTTCACGCCAAGCCCGCTCATCATTGTGGTGGGCCACAGAAGCAAGGGCGCGGACGAGCACCTTGCCCCACAGGTAACGAGCCGCAGCCGGGACATGGCGAA